CACCCGAGTGTCTAGCTCTGTCCCCACCCGAGTGTCTAGCTCTGTCCCCACCCGAGTGTCTAGCTCTGTCCCCACCCGAGTGTCGGGCTCTGTTCCCACCCGAGTGTCTAGCTCTGTCCCCACCCGAGTGTCTAGCTCTGTCCCCACCCGAGTGTCTAGCTCTGTCCCTGCCCGAGTGTCTAGCTCTGTCCCCGCCCGAGTGTCGGGCTCTGTTCCCTGCCCGAGTGTCTAGCTCTGTCCCCTGCCCGAGTGTCTAGCTCTGTCCCCACCCGAGTGTCTAGCTCTGTCCCCGCCCGAGTGTCTAGCTCTGTCCCCACCCGAGTGTCGGGCTCTGTTCCCGCCCAAGTGTCGGGCTCTGTTCCCCATCCCAAGGACTCAGGGTGGAGGTGCTGGTGCCAGTCTTAGTCCTCCCAGGCCAGAGGCCATGTCAGGTATGTGGGTGACCTGCTGTCACCTTCACTCACAGGCCTGAGCAAGGCTGCAGGAAGTTATGGGAAGCTGTGGCCTCAGCGTCTGCCCTCCACTGAGGACCACGTGTCTGCACTGAACTGGATGCTGTCCATGCCACCAACCATGTCCCCAGCAGCTGTGGGCTTCGCAAGAGCAGCAAGCTGACCCGAGGTGCCAGCTGCCAGCGCCGTCTGTGCTTGCATGCTCACTGTGCACCTCATTGTCCCCTTGTCCCACTGCCCCATGGATCATATTCCCTGGTCACCTGGCTCCCAGAGCGGCCTGGCCCTCCCGCCTTTTCCCGGGGCCGCTGGAGCCCCTGTGGGCTGTGGCTTCCTTTGTCACCCTGGAGAGGTCCTGTGCTTTGGCACTGCTGGGCTCCTCCTGCGGCGTGGACATCCCCAGTTCCCAGGGAGATCTGGACCTAGGACACCAAGTGCCTCTAGGCTCCTGTGGAGCTCACCCCAGCCCACAGTACCGCCGCACCTATCCTCACTCACCAAGCAGAAGGTCCTGCCGCCCTCGAGAATTGGCCGGTAGCCAGTGCAGCGACACAGGTTCCCTGAGGGAGCAAGGCCCAAGGGTCAGTGCCTTCACAACCCACCCGCTTCTGCTCAGTTCTGGGGTGCTGGGCCTGAGCCTGAGCCTGTGTACAGGGTGAACGGCACCCCAAGCTGCACCTCTAGCCCCATGGTTTGGAGAGATCAAGAGTATTTTAACATCTGTCATCTGGTTTAAGTTTCTCCCTTTTCTTAAAGGGTTGCCTTTCCCATCACTCCAAATTCAGTCTGATTCTCTGTTCTAAAGTTGAGCCCATCTGATGAGTTCATGTTGCTCATCTTCCAGTGCACCCACTCACTGCCCGCCTTTCTTCTTTCTTTCTTTCTTTCTTTCTTTCTTTCTTTCTTTCTTTCTTTCTTTCTTTCTTTCTTTCTCTCTCTCTCTCTCTCTCTCTCTCTCTCTCT